CCACGTTATATATTTTTTGGTTATTTATTATTTATTATTTATTTATTTGTAAATAATCTATAGATAATGTCTATCGCTACTGAGTAGATTGTAATCGCTGTCCTTTATTGTATTGTATTATATTATATCTGTATAAGATAGGTGAAATAGGTGAGGTAGATGAGTACCGGTATATAAGGTAGATTAGGTCATATCCATCCAATCTTGCAGTTTCTAACTTCTAAGGGATACGTGATATATAATACCGGTCGGTATACACATAATCCCTCGTTGACCAACTCATTCGTCGGAGCGATAATCAGGAAAATGGAAAAGGGGAAGGAAGGGCTTGCTTGGGCTTGGGCTTGGGTTTGGATTTGGAGAAATATGAGGTGGGATGTATATAGGTGTATGTATCCGAGTATATGTATGTATAGTTTTTCTTCTTATAGTTATACTTATAGATATATCGGAATATAAATGTGAATAGAGAAAGAGAGATAAGGCTAGTTAGTCTATGCTGCTCTGGGTTTTTGCTAGGCTGGGCTGGGCTATATTATGAAGATATGTATGTATGAGGAAAGCAAGTAGGTATATAGTGGACGTGACGTGACGTGAAGTCTCTACTCGAGTATTTATTAGTTAGCCTTGAAAAGAAAATGAAGACTCAAGAGATGCGTTCCTTTCAGGAATAATCGAATCGAAGACGAATATTGATGTGAGATTATTAGGCTGTTTGTTACACGGGGATGTATATGTATGTTGAATAAACCCCATGTCAACAGCCAGTTTGTTGGATGGATATATAACTATTATAATATCATCATCGTCATCGTCATTCCTACATACATTTGTTGTCATTAACCTAACTTGAATATCAAATCCAACGCAAATAACCGGACGAGATCTCAATTCTTGAAAATACCCCATTAAAGACATGGTTATTTGTCGTATAAACCAGTTTGTTCGAGTTCTTTTGTGAAGCTCCTGCAGGCTGCGGCAGAAGCCACTGGTGCTGTCTTCATCCAGCCAGTCGTCATGGCGTTGGTAGCATTGATGGATTGAAGGAATTTGTTGTTCGTCTCGAGTAGAACTTATATACTCCTTCGCAAGGAATAGTAATATCGGTGTCTGATTTTACCTAATACTTGTATATCCAAATGCCGTGGCCGAGTGACTACTAGGTACTCGGAACTGAAGAAGTAGAGGGACATAGAAATAGTAAGTTAGTAACGCCCTTACCGATCTTGCGGTTGAGAGACTCGCGACATGATATTGGAAATTTGGGGAGTCTAAGGAGGTTTGTTATATAGTAGAGTTGGTAGAGTAGCGTAGGATCTGTGGGTTTTATTGTATGGATAAATACTTCCCAGATTATGAATAAGATAGAAACCAACAAAATCCTACAAAGTCTAAAAAAGAAGCATTAGGGAGTTAGTTATTAGTAAAGTATGTATCAACATTTTCCTAGCAACTTATTTGTGGTGATATACTGGATTCATCCCGGAAGGAAGTCAAGATGTCGGTTTTTCTCTGTCGATTCACGTTATCATTCTAGATTCATTGCCATTGCTAATGCAATTGTACTTGTGACGGGATGCAAGGTGGAAACTAGACTAAGCTAGTACTAATACGAATGGAAAGGAAGGTGCTGGGTGGTCAGCGTGGTACCCCCCTGACAGTACTAATATACTCAGATTATACTTGGGCAGGTCTTAGAAGATATATATACTAAATTAAATAGCTATTGCTATTTCGATTCTCTATATGAGTTATTTAGCTTTTGATATAGATTATTCGGTTTTTGATATGAATGATTGATTCAGTTTTGATTTGAATTATTTAACCCTTGATATGGATTATTCTGATCCGAATAAGGATTACACAGGAATGGGATATAGTTATTGGAAAAACGATTATAAGGTCTTATCAAAAAAGAATCTACCGTCTTACCTTAACTAACTGAGGTTGGGTCCAACTGCATTTGGATGAAGCCAAACTATATATAGCTTAATTAAAATCGCTAATATACAAATAAGGTTTATCGATATCGCTTATGTCCCCGCTAAACAAACAGATTTTACCGAGATCAATCTCTTATATAGAATATACTAAACGTTAGACTACTTATTGAAGTGAGAGATAAATATATCTTTCGTATTTCTTCTTTAACTCTTACTTACTCTTCTTTTTACAATCACAGGGATTTTACAATAAACGGGGCTGCATTTATGATAGGGTTATAATGGGGGACGATAGGAGGAGGACAGATATCCAAGGTTTAGAATCAACACTACCTATAGCATACGAGGCCGGAGAAATAGACTAGAGGCATCAAGAAACCAGGCGTACCATAAGTCAAGAATCTACAGTAGTAATCCAGGGATCAATCTTTTCAACATCTTAAAGCTGGGTCACCGCGAGCAGCACTTGAATTGGATGATTCATACACATGAAAAATCAACACAGGCGGAGATACTATTTGTAATTCAACTAGTCTAATACAAAAACATTCTCCATTACCCCTGTATCTTACTTCAACCCCACCCATGCTCCTCCTTTCCCCTCTCAAATATCTTTTCCTTGCCTCCGAAAAAGGCATATAACCTACCCTCAAAAAAGGGTTGTTAACTCTACCCCCCGAAAAGGGGTTTCATAATGGTAATCCTACCCCCGAAAAGGGTTTCATAATGGTAATCCCACCCCCGAAAAGGGTTTGTTAGCTCTACCCCCAAAAAGGGTTTCGCAATGGTAATCTCCCCCCCCTCCCCCCCCCATACCGCCGAAAAGGGGTTCTCAAAACCCATCAAATATCCAATTATACCCCCAAAAGAGGTATTTCAACTCTGACCCTGATATACCACCCTCTTCTGAAATGCATTGAGACGAGCCGAGAGACCTAGACCACAGAATGTTGAGTCCTCGGTCCAAGTCATCTCTTGCAGTCCAATCGGACCTTCAAGTGCATGATAATCAGCATCGTTTTCTTCTTCATCTGGAATCATACTTTGGCCACAAGATGTGAAATTTGGCGTCTTTGAAAAACTGACGTCTCTCGCCAGCGGAATCGATTTGCTGGATTTCTTATCATACTTGTGCTCTTTGAATGATGTGTAAGCTACAATTGCCCCGAGGATGGAGGATGTGGTTCCGGACTCATATCATCTTCTGCTTCGTCGTGCCTCCAAACGCTCCTTCATCAACAATTTTCGTTTGATTTGTAGAATCTTTGTTCGCGTATATGGTTGTTGCTCTTCTTATCTACGAATAAGTCCCATGCATCTAGTATTGCAATCATATCCGCGCGACCGATAGATACCACTGGATCTCTGGATCTGTTCTTCTTCTTCACAGCTTGCTTGATACAACCCGAGAATTCCCAATACCGTGGGAGATCAGAATGATTTGTGTCAATCAAAAACTCTTGTAAACGTTTCTTATTTCGATTTGAGAGCACAACGTTCGTTTCCTCTTCAAATAGCGCAAATAAATCCCTGTGAACTCCAAGGTGGGAGTCGCATACCCTAGGAAGCTCCATGTGTCTCTCGCCCAATCTGTAGTACATTGCCAACAATACACAGTGTTGTATAAATGTTGGGCTTCCAAATGGTTTCCGAAAACCGGTAACATGAGAGAACTCAGCACAGAGTCGAATAGACAAGTTCGTGTTCTCTATCTGTCGACCATTGGCTCCAGCGCTGTAGATCTTTGTCATCATGGTAACTTTTTGGCTCTTCGGCAGTAAATCCACAGGTGCTTTCCCGAAGAGCTTTAAACATTTCGTCCAAAGACTAACTTCTTCGCTCGAAGTATCGCTCAAGACTTCTCCTTCGATCGCTGTCCATTCTTGTGATATCAAGTTCTCGATCGCTTGATAACTACAATACCACGGTAGCTTTTCTTCGTCTTCGTCTTCATTTTCATTTTCATCTTCATCTTCATCTTCGTCTTCTTCGAGTTTTTCTTCGTCTTCCTCGGATTCTCCAGATGAAGAGCTCGTAAAATCAGAATGCTCTTCCTCTTCATCCTCCTCCGACTCTTCTTCGTCATCTTCTTCCTCCTTGCGTCTGGAAGTCTTCTTCCTCTTTCAGGAAACTTCTTCCTCGGAATCCGATGCGACTCTTTTATTCTTATTGGGTCTGGCGGAAGCCTTTGCTTTGGTGGACGGCTTGGCTTTAATCTTCTTTCTGCCATGGGCATAAGTATTCTTATTTTTTGTTGTACGTTGAACCATTTTGACTCTAGTGTATTTATGATTTTATCTTGTGTTGGAGAATATTTTGAAATTTGAGTGGTATCATGAAAATCAAAACAAGCGATATGGACATCAGGTGAAGTGAATTGGACCAACCAGAATTAAGCTTATAAATTCCTTTACTCCCCCCCTTCAGTTAAAACTGACTTCGATTCGCTATCCAATCATTTTACTCTCTTATACTGTATTTCGCCCAACATGAACTCGTAATCTAAAGAATAATTCAACAACACAACCTTCTCAAGCCATCATACAGCATGGTACAAAAATCAGAACTTGACATTGACATTTATGGGGATTTGAACCCTTCAAAGCCAAAGGAAAATATTCAGATATCGAACTCTGAGAAGACAGCATTAAATGCTGAAGCGCCAAGTTTTAATGCAAGAATGGATAATTCGAGATATCCGCCTCCAATGGGGCCACGAAATCCAAGACAGGCTTCTTACGACCGACGTATGATGCCACCACCAAGACCTAGAAGTTATGCCGCCCCTCAGCCAGCAAGACCTGCCCCTCTACCTACTCCGTATACATTGTGGTGCGCAAGATGTTCGTCAGATACACACACGTTCAAAGATTGCGTCAAATGTAATAAAGAGGGTTACATGGAGGGTTGTCCGAGATGCGAAACACTCGACCATCAATATTTCGAATGTCCAATCGAAATAAAGAGACAGGAGGAATACCATTACACAAGACAATGTCGAAGAAATAGACCACCTTGGAGATTGAGAAAGGACCACAGAGATATTCGAAAGATGCTCAATGGTCAAGATATCAGCGAGCCAGATGATATACCTTGGACCGCAGAATTTTCGAGGAAAAATGTCGGAAGGGATATCCCAAGCCATTATCTTGATCCTGCTTGGCACGATTATGATAATGTACCTATACACAGATATCAGAGATTGACCGTCCTTATGTTCCAGGTTTTACAACCCAGTGGCATTGGAGAGCGAAGTATCTTTCAGAACCTAAGAGACCTGGACTGGTTCCACAATCAATACAGAAACAGCAGATGGCGAGAAAGTCGGAGACAATGGCTAGATCAGAAACATCAGAGACAATGGGTCTACCAAAGGTATCAGCGCCACAAGACACCCGCGACATTTGAGTTTTCATTCAAAGTGTCCAAACCACAGTTCCTATTCAGGATGAAGAAGAGTTTGATTTGAGACAGGTGAAAGGAAACAGTATTGGGTATGATATAGCTTTTCGAGCTTGGAATGACCTTTTTCGAAGGCATATTGATATGACTTCTTTAGGGAGCATGAGAGTAACTAACATGACCTTTTTCGGGGGCGTGGTAGTATGGTGTGGTATAACCTTTTTCGGGGGTATGCAGCCAGATTGATATGACCCTTTTCGAGGGCATGTAGTCGATAGAGAAGGGTAGAAGGAAATGATATCATATATTTTACTTGATACAATTGAATAATTGAGGTTGTGCGAACTTGAATCATCTGTGACCATTCGTTCCCTTTCTATATGATCCTTTCCTAAAGATTTCTTCGAGTCTCTGCTAACTTTCCTTGCCTTTATAATTCATCTCTGAGTCTACTTGTAAACGAGTGATACCATTTTTTAATACTATATATATACTAATGAAGTACTCTATTAACTAATCTTTATATTAATCAATGCCCAGATTATATTTCGTTTTTAAGAAATAATAGTAATAACATTACAAAGATAATATAGATAATAATTAATAATAATATATAAATATCTAAGATTTCAATTTAATCTTAATATAAATTATTTAGAATCTATTGTTTAATTATGCAATTTCTAATGCGAATTATTCAGTTTCTAATATAAATTATTCGATCACTAATACGAATTTTTCAATTTCATATCTTAATTATTTGGGCTTTATGATGAATTATTTAGATATGAAATTGAATTATTCAATACACTACTAATATACTAATACACCGACTCCCCTAGCTCCTAGCCTAAACTTAAAACTTAAAACTAAAAACTTAAAACCCTCTACTAGTACCTGCCTCTGATAGATTAATCTTGATTGTATCATTAATCTTTCCTCTCACAATCCTCTCACAATCCTCCCATTCTCTCCCAACTCTCTCCATTCATTCCATCTCCCATCTCCCATCACTCTCACCCCTCTCACAACTCTCATCACACTCTCATCACACCTCTACTATACTACCATACCCAACTACGAGTAAATTTACTATAACTATCAAATAGCTAATTCAATTAGAAACCGATTATTTCAAATAGTATATGTACCGTACCGTACCGCGGTATAGTAAATTGATGGATGAGCGGATAAATGAATGATATAAATCTTCTACGAGTATTTCAAAACTATTCTGCTATCAGATTGTATACTATATAGGCAATATAATACAATACAGTACATCTAAAAGACTTCACTACCCACCGCATAGCTAAATCTTTGACCTTATTTGAAGTATGAGATTATAGAGTAGAGTAGAGAATAGTATCTATTCGCTTACTAACTCTAATTAACTATCAAACCCTAATTATATACTATATTTCTATAA